CTACTATTACTATCGTTAGACACAGGTATTGTGAAATTTTTATTGTACATCTTTCAAATGAAGTAGCAGATTTAATGAAACAAATAAATTCAATGATCAAAAGCATTCAAAAACATTACTATCGTTGAGATGTATTGCTACATAAAATTTCAAGTTAAAATTCGAAAACATATTTTCGAATGTTACTGAAGGGGTCTACGGCAATAATTAAAAAATACAATAAAAATGGCCTATTTTCATAACAATAAGCTAACCGCGCAAAATATTTTTAGCGTATTCATAACTCCTTGGGAGCTACATAATCTAAGTAGTTTCAACGCAAAAGCGATTGAACGCTTGGTGATCGTCCCTCGTAAGTGCATGTCTAGACGGATGAAAAACTATTTACAAGACTGATAAGCAAGTCAATTGTACGTGCTTTTGCATTGACAATTAGTATTATTCAATACACTCGACGTTATTTTTCTATGGAAAAATTTGTTTTATGTACAACATCCAGGCTTCTAGAACATTTAATTTTCGTTTATTGAAAAATACGCAAGTAAAGGCCTTAGCTCTTGATTTAGATTATTACGAGTTACAAAGGCTGCTCTACAGACTAATAAGTTTGTTTTCTACCTCACTGATTATTCAAATGTCAAGAAAAAATGATTGTAATCAGTACGATGAAGTAATCGATTCAAACTATTTATCAATATAAGCGAATGTTTTTCATTTCTTGAAAAAAATGAATTCAGGTAAATCTGTAATGTTTTCTGATTACCAGGTATCTATTTTCTTCAACAAATCTAGTTTGAATGATATCTATTGAATACATAAAATATACAGAAGAATATTCAAATTTATCTTTTTAAAAATTAGTAATCCATCGACAACTGATATGATAGAAGAGCCTGCTGATTCACAAATGCCGTTTTGTTTTGTATTCTCTTCGCCTATGATTATTTTCAATGTTGATAAGATTTGTTGTTAGGCTATATATTATCTGGATATCGGCTCGTCTATATTATTAATTAGCAAGAAAAACTATAAGATACATAAGAAATGAATAGAACTAACCTATCATCAAGTATAGAATCAGTAGTTCTTCTAAAAAATAAACTCGAGCAAAGCAGTCATTATATTTATGCTATTTTGTTTCCATTAATTTTTATATTGGGTATCGTTGGTAATCTATTTTCATCAGTTATATTTTGCATAACAAAACTTAATCATATCTCATGTGGAATTTATTTTCTCCTACTGGCTATTTATGATTCATTAGCATTAATTGCTGGTCTACATCATTGTTTAACAATTGGTTATCAATTTTCAGCACTCAGCGGTGCTTATTGTCGTGCACGAAATTTTCTTCTTTACATGTCAATGGATATGACTTCGTGGATGATTGTAGCTATTTCAGTAGATCGTTACCTTAAAGCAAGACATCCTATAAAAGCACGAATGTATGCAACAAGAAAATTATCTATTTTTATATCGTGTTGTTTAAATATTATTTTTATTTTGAAAAATTTTCATCTACTAACAATTTTCATTGGAAATTTTACCGAGGATGCTGCTGATAATTGTGATCCGAATCCTCATTATCGAATGTATTCATTCTTTTTCAGCAATATTTGGCCATGGATTGATTTTACAACTTATGCATTATTACCATTTATTATTGTTACAATTTCGAATACATTTATTATTCATGATCAATATAATAGACGTTTTAAATTACGTAAACGTACACTTGATCTATCATTAATAAGATTGTTATTAGTGAGTTCAATATCATTAATTGTTTGTAATCTTCCGATAACAATTTTAGCTATTATTTATCCGTATATTTCAATATCATACAAGACGAATAAAATATATGATAATGTTGCATTTGCATTTGATATGCTTCGATTACCAGCTTATATATCATTAGGATTGAATTTTTATTTGTATTATTATACATCGGCTTTATTTCGAAAACAGGCAATTGTACTTTTTCAACGTTTGTTTCACACGGAAGACAATACTAATCGTATACAACTTGCTCATAGATTGTTCACAGATGGAAATCAACGTGCAGAAACACACAATTCGTTTAATAATTTTGACGATTTTCAATCGCTACCAGTACCTTCATTAAAAGATAGTTGTTTCATTTCAAATTTCTATCCTATATGAAAGCCGGTTTATTTCTGTACCAATAGTAACGGGCCTTCTAATGACACTGGAGTCTTGTGTAATTTTGTAAATAAAATCAAAAGTATTTATTTCGTAGTCATACTACTATGAGATTCATTTTGTTTTGGCCATTGCTGATTCTACAATCATTTTTGAAGAATTTCATTTTCAGAAGAACTTTTAAAAACTAGACAGAAAATTGTGTAGAAAAGCTTTTAAAATACAAACATCTCTATATTGAATTGATCCATAGAAAATCTTCTCATATACATAGTTAGGAATATGAATTCTATTCTCAAATTCCTAAACTTTTCAGACGTGATGAGATATTATTAGTAGCTGCTGACACTCTAATTAATTGACCTATTAGACTCGATGTTTTGAAAGATTCAGATTGTTATATAATTACAAGAGATACGTTTTTGAGAAAAAATCTTGATCGAATTTCTAAAAATTGAATCGTAGATAGTTTTGTTAAACCAACATTATATTTAGTTTTTACGGTTTCTTCTATTTCTAGAACAACGACATAAGATCAAAGATAAAGGATAGTTTGCAACTGTATTTTCAATTTGTCACAGTCATTATTTTGATGAAGAAGACAAGTGCACAATGACTAACTTATAGCGCTTTACGAAATCATCAACATACGGGTTTTCGAGCTGTTCGAGATGTAAAACAAAATGTTGAAATCTATTGTAGACTTATGGGATATGTATGAAAAAGAGTTTGTTTATCAGTTAAATAATTGATTCATATTATCATAGTGTTAAATTAAGAAACAAATGAAAAGTAGATAATCAGTAAAAACAAACAAACCTATTTGAAGCGAAGAATTAACTAACAAAAAAATATCCTTGAAAAGAAAAGTATTCGTCTGTTAGAAATTTTTCGCATAAAATATCTTGTATTAGCATAATAAAGCTCAACAACACATATGAATCCTACATTTAAGAATGAAAAAGGCTGCACTGAAAAACTATTGGTAAGATTTTTTCTGAATAAAAGCGAGATTATTTTTCTACTAAATATCGAACAAGTCCATTATATGTATGTGTTAATTGTGCATTCTTAAATTGAGCGTATACAATTATTTCTCGTTCCGGTACCGTAATTTGTTGTTTGAATATCTCATTTTTTAACGCAATTTCTTCTAACCAAACTCCATCAAGTGAGATTCTTACATAGAGTGCATTAGGAATACGACAATGAATCGTTATTTTCGTTCCAGATTTAAGAACAGCATCCAGGGGTGAAAATATTTGACATTTATTTTCAATAAATTTTCGATAAGTTGTTGGTAATACTTTTTTTCGAATAAAATCTTTCGATGATACTTCAAGACCTAATTGAATAACATTAATTAACATACTGGATACTACTAAACGATTGGCATAGATAATTAAAGTATGAAAGCCATTTTTATACGGTGCAAATAAACATTGCCAAAGTTGACGATTACTATCATATTGCGAAAGACAAGTGCTTTTATTATCATTTTTGATTGAACATGATAATTGAATATCATTGGGGGCTTGAATTAATACTTCAGCATACGATTGGTATTTATCGAAAAGAACCATACTAGAAAATCTTGGCGAAATAATTGTAAGATTAAAAATAAAATAGTATGAATGCAAATATGGTAAACAAAAATAATTGAACATAGAAATAGGTTTTGATAGAAATTGCCATTGAGAATCTTCTGGTAAATGATTATAAATCATATGTTCTGGACGAGTTAGAAAATAATGGATATTAAGATGTTTTTTATATCGATATTTATTGTCAATGTATCCACTGCCGAAAACTGAATCAATAAGATACCAATTATTACCGTTGAGTTGTACAGCATTCCAAATATGATTAATATGCGGAAATGTTGATTGATTTATCTTAAAATGAAAGTCTTTTGCATAACCGGGAATGTCAATACATTTTATACTGATATTATTGCATAAGGTTTTAAATAATGCAACATAACCTTCATAGGTAGTTTGACGTGAATGAAAAATTTCATCAGGTTTCTGTTTAAAAATTTCACGATCAGGATCAACATCATAGAGAATATTTTGAGAAATCCAATAGAAGATAATCCAAACTTGTTCAATAACATTTTTGTCTGTTATTAAGTCTTTAATTAATGCAGTCAAATGATCAAGTGATGGAGGTTTCCACGAATGAATTGTTTCACGATATGATGCATTATCAATAGCCATTTGACGTTGACGTATAAATTCCATATCGAAACTGTTTGGATCTGACGGCCATAAATCAATAGGCTTTGTGTTCTGAATAAGTTGTGCTGTAAATAAAGTTTCTTCACTTTCGTTTTCTTGTTCATGCGTTGAATTATTTGATATTTCTTGTTTTTTATGTTTTCGCTTTAAATGTTTTCTAATTTTCAAACGATGACGAGGGTTTTGATTGATTATAATAGGTGTTAAAGAACGATATGGATTAATATATGCGGAAGCAAAATTGTGAAATGGCGGTTTGTCAATAATAAATTTTTGACGATAAACATGTTGTTTTCCTTCTTTATGAGAACGATTTGGTGAATTTTTCGGTGATCTAGATGATAAATTTGGAACTGATTGTGGCCGACTACGATTTGATGGTATCACCGCATGAATATTTTCAAGTTGAACCGTCGAATTTGAATTAATTACCATAGTGTTTTTTTTTCGTTTATAGATTTTGTTTATTTCACGTCTCCGAACAAATGAAATTTATATTTTTCTACACAGTTACTAGTTTTTATGTCAATAATATGAAAGAAAGTGTATTTTATATGTTGCCATCTATGTTAAAGAATAAAAAAAGAACATGCGCTTCGAATGTAGAAAGTAAATTAACAAAACAAAAGAATCATTTTCATTGTTTCTCTTCTTTTTTTGCCGCAAGCTAGTTTATAATCAAATAAAAAAATTGTCAATACATTTGAGTAATTTTTGTTTCTGAGCGACATAAATTCGAAGAATTACACTACATCTACCTCTTCATAGTGAATTTCTCTCAAGCTAAATGAATTTTTAGTTACTCTAGACACTCAAAAAATAGTCACTCATGCTGATTAAAAAAGCCAGAAAAGTGGTTTTCAATATGTAATTATTACTTCTATGACGTAGGAACGTATGCCTGTTAAATTCTTGAATGAGAGCGCCTTTTAATCAGCATGAATGACTAACAATCACGGTTCAAAGTTAAGAGTTGAAACATGTTTTTTCCAAATTTTGATCTGCTTGAGTAGTGACTCGAAAATACGGGGTTAACAGTTTTTATATTTTATGTTACCATTCTAGCCAACAGAAGTTTAATAGAAACTTATAGAAGATTTGTCAGGATACAGAGATCTTATGAAAAAGTATTGTCCAAAAAGGTGTAGGCTTTCAGACAATTACATTTGCTCTATGCCACTGGGTTAATCAAGTATAAGTGAATTGAGACGCCACGATAGTCGTGTATATAAATGCTAAAAAATTCTACTAGTAAATATCAAAACAATGAGAGAAATTAAAATAATTTTCTTTTTCGATACATACAAATACATTTAGACAGCGACTCTTTCATAAGTGCTTTTTCTTTTTGAATCTGAACATGGTGAAATCGCTGAATATCAGATAAATCTTGTTGGATATCTCTGGGTGCAAAAATTAATTAAAGGCAATCCACATGAGTTTTGATATGGTAGGATCAGTTCGCTTTCTTTACAATGTTCAAAATTTATGTTATTTCAACATAACATAAAATGTTCTGTCGAATTCGATAGTTATGCATCAGTAATTGATGGCAATATTTGTTCATGCATCGAATACTGTTCGCATACATTATCATTGAGTGCTATGATTCAAAAATAGGCATCGCGACGCCATTACTATCATTATTCCCACGATAACTTGAACTACTGTTCTTTCCTTGGTTATCATTTTTCAAGTGAGTTAATGTTCTGAACTGTGGGTGTGGGGTGTGGGTGTGGGTGGCGGTGGGTATGGGTGTCGATAGAAGTGGAAAATCTACAAACCCACACACCCACACCCTGGAAAAAAGCGTGCATGCCAATTGAAATAATCGTTTAAACGCCATCAAATTGACAAATTGAATCGTTAACGAGGATGAATACAATAATACAATGGTCACAAAGTATTTGCTAGTTTTCATGTGGTGAAAAATGAAAGATTGGCGTTTGCACGGCCAGTCTCCTAAAAATGACGCAAAACGTATAGAAACATAGTTTTTGCGGTGTTTAAACGCGTTTCTGAAAATTTTTGTCTGCTTGGGTGGATCAGTCTATTGGTTTGACCCCTTTACTCTGAAATTTCTACGAAATGTATCTTTATGGAATAGCATAAGTATTGTATTACACACCAGTTTACTTTTCACATTACGAAATACCGATTCGAACATTTGCGTACTCGATAGTCAAACAAATAATCCATTAACAAATATAACTCATTCTAGTGCGGCTCAAACTCGTAAATATATTTTTTATCAACAATGGTAAAACTATGCTTGCCGCTGGTCAGAGTGTCATGTCGTTAGCTATATTTCAAGTAAATTCCCCAACAAATTATACATTTCAGGTTAGTGATATGAGTTTTCTTTTGTCTATTAATAAAAAGCAACTTCTTCTTATCATCACTGTTTAACAACTTGTTGCATTTCCATTCCTGCATTACACAGTACTGCTAAGGTAAATGGAACTCGACCTCATTGGCAAATGCTACGGGAAGTCGTAGTGGCTCACATATAGCAGTGGATGAATGTGGACGAATATGGTATGCCATCGGTGCATTTGGTTTACGTATTTATGATCCATCAGGTTTGGAAATAGCAAATTGGAACATGAGTTTAGGATCTGATACGATCTTTGAGATAGTACTACTGCCCAATCGTGTTCTATTAGCCACGCAAGTCAACGCTCAGACAATCATTCAATACGATCCTCAGCTAACATGTTACTAATATTTATCTATTTAATTAACCATAATACTGAAATTTCTAATACTAAAATTTCGCAGTCTATCATATTTTTTTTAACAAGAAAACATCGAAGAAATTATAACTTGTTGATTAAAATCTACATTATACGAAAAGTTCAATAGATTCGATTAAACTCATTAGTATAGAATCTGATCTCATGATATTTTTTGTTGTTTTTAAAATTCATTAACAGAAAATATTCTTTTCAATTTCGATAAAAACTTTTACAAATCAAATTGAGCAATCTCCATGCAAATTCGTATTCCTATGACTGTAAATAAGCATAGACATATTTACAAAAGATAAAGTAGCCTATCAAGTACAATTATATACAGATAGAATTCATCATTTCAAAACAAAATAAGCACGAGTTTTTAAATGATTATTTTTCAAATAAAAGAATGAAAGAGAATCGTAATTTCACCATCAGATCTGCTACTAGAAGACATATCAAATCATAAACTGAAAGCAAATCTAAGCGAATGTTCCTTAGGCTTTCTAATTCAAGGTTTTATGAAAAACATGCACTTGCTGGAAAATGTTCGAATAGTATATTCAATAATCGAACTACTGATTGAGCCACATTATTGGGTGCAATTGAAAGAGTTGAGCTACGAAATTCATCGAATCCTTGCCATTTTTAGACACACAATATCATATCTTGACAGTTAATTTACTGATCATGACACGATAATGAATTCATGCTGATAAACACTAGAAAACGCACCGAAATTCTAACCACCCGACTATAATTATCAGAATCAAATCTTCAATTTTAATATCGCATTCATAGTCATTTTATATATCCTTATTACAATAAAATTTAATATTGCAAGAATTTTTCAGTCACTGATTAGTATGTTAATAATATATCACTCAAAACCACATACATAAATGATTCAGCAAAAAAAGAACAACCAAAAAGAACACCGACAGATTTAACTATAATAGGCGGCATAAATAGACGTGAATATAGTCATAACAAAGTAGAAGAAAAAAACAAAATCAATCTAGATGTCATTTTAAAGTTCATCGGCACCACCTTTATTTTTTGTACCATCACGCGCGTAACCATCGAGTGGTTCTGTAGCTTCTTTGGCTAAATATTTAATAAATTCATCGACTTCACGTCCACCCTAATGCAAACAAAATCAATTAGAATTGAAATAAGAAAAGCATTGTAAAACTATTTTACTTCATATTTTCTTGGATTGCTTTTGCCATTTTTAGGTGCAAAATAAAGTGTTGGAAAACCTCGAACATTATATTGGCTAGGAACATCATTTTCAGTGGCATCCATTTTAGCACTAGATGAAATAATAGATTTACGGGTTTTTTTTTCGTTTTTAAGCGAAAATTTTCTCTTATTCTTACATGACAATGCTACTTTCTTTTTTCAACGTCTTAGCTAATTCGTCATATTTAGGAGCAAGTGATTTACTAAAATTGATAAATGAATAAAATTCTTTTAGAACGAGAGGAAAAGCTCAATTATCTTACCAATGACCACACCTAGAAAATAGTAAAAATAAGAATTAAAACCTGTTCCGTTTTTTGAATAGCAAAATGTTCTTACCATGGTGCATAGAATTCGATGAGAACATCTTTGGTATTATCATTAACAATTTCATCAAAGTTCTTAGCGACAACAACTTTAACGTCTTCCGTTTGTTCTGGAACTTCTTGTGATTTTAAATATGGTTCAAGATCACCGCTAATTACTTTACGAGCGAATTCTTCGATAGCGTCATAGCTAAAATCAAAATTTAATTCAATAGTGAAGGAAATTTTTCAAAATCAAACCTGAAATCTTCAGATAATTTAAATTTTTGATCGCTAGCATCACGAGCAACTACATATTTGCTATCTTTTTTAACATCACTAATACCGAATTGAGTTAATTCCTGACGGAATTCTTCAGCATTACTGACAGCAAATCGGACATTTACATCTTCCTCGGATAATTTCTTGGCAACTTTCAAGACACGATTACGTACATAATTGGTACCTTTAGTATCACGAACATAATCAACATTGTAATAGACAACTACTAATGGTTTATCAAAATCAGCAGCATTTGATTGAATGCGATGACCGACAAGACCGTTACTGAAACATAAACAAATAAAATCAATTAGAAGATAAAATAAAAATAGATATTCTACTAGAGAGTAGAACAAGATGGGCATGTTACTCTAACAGGAGAACACACATCACTGTCCGTTACTATTGTATTGCATATTATGACTGTCAGTAGATTTTCGTGAGACTGAAAAAGGCTCAAACTGACAGAGGATAATTATAGGAGGACAAAGTAGTCAAATTTGAGAGCAAAACTTCAGTAGTAATCAAGACATTCTATATCGTTGATTGGTTGCATGTTTTCTAGTGACACATGTATTGCATTATAAATACTACTTAATTTAATCGTGGGATCTCTTCTAGCGTGTAAAGCTTAAACATTTTATCGGCTGTTCTGTGAAAAAAGCTCAATAAATTACCAGTAAGATACTATTATCTTACATGGCTTATTTCGTACTTCGAATACATTCTGAACTTGAAAACTCGATTGAGTTTTTACTTGAATTTCCCTAAAATAAAATAATAGCGCTTTCATAGATTTCTCGAACGTTTTGCGACCTGGCTGTTGGTTTTAATAAAGTTTTGTTTTATATGTCATTGACTGAAAATCGTTTCAACCTCTCATCTCTCGATTGTTAAAGACTACGAATGAGCAGCTGTTGCCATCATCGAGTTACAGCATAAAATATCAGGTACTTATTTCTAGGAAATTCAATCTGAGCCATAAGCATAAAGGATTGATTTTAATATGAAAAGAAAATCGAAGTTCACAGTTCTTATCCAACTTGAATAACGTGGAAAAGAAACTCAACAAGTATACAAAAATATTTTTCTATAATTTTCATCTAAACAGATCCTGAACTAAGTCTTTTCATAACATCGATATTTGCAGTGCTATTTGTGAACAAATGTTACTTATGAAAATAAAATCAAAACTTAGCAAATTTACTTAATTAGTTTCTCGTTTTATATTATTTATTGTAGGCGGTCAAACGGCGTATTAATTGAAACTACTTAAGAAAATTAACTTACACTTTATCTTGAATAAACGATTTAATTTTATCTCCAACAACTTCAACAACTGTAGCGGCACTTTCAAATTTTGATTGTAATCGTTTAGGTTGATGAATAACAATTTTACTAAAAGAAAAATGACATTCCAATAGCTGTCGTAATCATCATCAGACTTACTTTACATATCCTGCTTTATCTAGAATTTCTTGTGATGTTGTATAAGCGAAACGATATTTTTCCGATAATTGATTAGCAACGTTAACAAGATCATCTTTCAATGAATGTATATCACTTTCAAGATACCCTATTAAAATAATAGATAATAATTTTCAACTTTTGCAATAGTATCATACCAACAACACTATAGCCATCATATTCTAAATATTTTTCATAATCAGCTAATGTTCCAAGTACACGATAGGATGGGCCGGCTTTGGATCTCATTTTAGCGACAATACCATCTAAATGAAAGTATGAGAGAGATATTTATTCATCTATTGAATATTTACCAGCTTCTCGTGGGCCATTATAGTCTTCTAAAATCTGACCATTTTTAAAAATCTTTAAAGCTAAAAATCAAAATAGTAAATAAATAGTTAAGAAAAAGGGGACATAAAAACATACTGGGATAACCACTGACACCATATTTTTCACAAGTTTTTGTTTCAACGGTGCAATCAACCTATTGAAAAAATTTATTGTTTACTTATGAATTCAATAGATAGGTTTTTTCTTCTTCTTACTTTAGCTAGTGCGACAGGTGGATCATTCTTTGCTAAAGCTGTTGCAGCCTTTTCATATTCTGGCGCAAGTCGTTTACCTAGAAAAATTTTCAAAAAATTGTTTAGCTCAATTAAAAAAATGAATAGATAAGTACTTACAATGTCCACACCAAGGCGCATAAAATTCGGCAAGTAAAATATCATGTTGTTTTGCATTAGTGTCAAAATTACTATCGGTAAAAACGAGTACATCACTCGCTCTAGATAATGCTATTAGACTTATAAAAAGTGTAATAAATAGAATTGAATGCATTTGTAAATTTGAGCTATGAAGTGGAAGAAAAACGAAATAAAATGGAATCATAACAGATAAGATGCTAGTTTTAGATAAGAAGAAACGTTGTAAAGACCTGGACATATATGATTGGAGAAAATTTATTACCAATTAAATTATATAAAAAATTGAAGTGAAATTATTTGTTAAATAAATTGTAAATTTATTTTGTTATTTGCATTTTTAGAGCTGCTTTAGGATATTTTCCAATTGAAAACAAAGAAAACAATATCGATTGGTCGAAACAATAGCCTAATAAATGATATCCAATGATAACCGCAGTATTCTACTTGAAGAGCCTTTTTTTAAGTAAATATGTCTCTATTCGATAAAGATTCATCATTTACATCCCATTGATGAATAAAATAGTCACTCGTACAACGATTTTGATAAATTTAAGAAAGCATATAACTAAAAAAGTTTTAGAAAATACCGGTTAAAAAACTCAGTGAACTATCAATTCATTAAAAAAAAACGGTATTCTTTTGTTCTTCTCTCACAACAAAAAGTTAAGTTTGAAAAAAAGCAAAAAAAAGTCAACAATATATTTTTCTCATAAGAAGTAAGACTTACGCTGGAAATGTAAAGTTTCATAAAATCTCGATAGATAATTTTGTGAAGTGATTGAGCGAACAACTCTCACAATATCGAGACGTAGTCAAGCTCTGGAGAATGCAGTTATTTTCCAAGTCTTTTTTTCTCAAAATGAAAATATATATTGCTGGATGATTACGAACTTCAAAATAGAAAATAAATGCAATCTCGAAAGTTAACGAAACACTGAAAACATCTGAAATACGGGAAAATGCTGATTTAATTTTTAATACAACTGTCAACCATATTCAAATGACAGATACACTTGAACGTTTCTGTAGTAAGTTATATAAATTTAAATATTAGCCCGTGGGCCCAAAGTTCTATGACAAAGCAGGAATCTTTCGTCGGATATCTAATACTATATAGAAAAAAATGATTAGATGAAACTAAAAATTTCAGAATTTGTAGTTCCTAGCAAGATAATATTGTTCATGAAAAAGAGTTTTGAAAAATTTATTCGCATCGTCGCTTGCTGAGATTAACAAAAATGACATTTTTAGACACTTAACATCTGCACTGATCTTGGTTCCGATACAAGGGTTGTTGAGAAAAAAATGGAGTTCTGAAACTGCAGATAAGACGACGAGAGACGTAATTTGCGTGTTTAATTTTTCATCTTAATATAGTAAAATAAACTAATTTGTCTGACTATTTTTTCATTTATTCTAATTAGAATGAATTTTTTGTACTTTTTAATGTTTTCACTAGTAGTTATTAGTACTTAAAAATCTATGCAAAATCTTTAATAGTATTTTTCAATATTTTTTTTTCTCTTTAGTTGGGAATGTCTAGTTATAACGTAGAACACTAGGTAAAAGATGCCGACAAAATTTAATAATGAATGAAAATAAATCATATATGTCCTATAGGCTAAAAACAATATTCTAATTACTAATCTTTCAAAGACGTTCTCATTCTTACCGTCATACAAATTCATACAGAAACTTTTCTAGCATAAATTTCAGTGTCTGATACAAACGTATGCAGGACAAAACAAAAAGTGAAATATCCGATTTTTGATAATATTTAGTAATTATCACAATCAAATATTATTTTTCGAAAGTATTATAATGATCTGATACGAAAAACAAGTAAACTGATCATATGATCACTTAATCGTTTTAAAGTAGAAATCAATTCGATGGACCATCATCATCATTTGTCTTTTCTTCTTTAGATGAATTAATTAAAACACGTAGAACAATATTAAAAATATACATATTAATTATCATATATAACCGTGATATTTTTATTTTCTCAAAAAAAAGCAAATTATTATTTGATATAGTCACATGCATGCAAACATATGGTATCCACTAGAATAAAGAAAAGAGAAATATTAAGAAAATAATATAAAGATGTTACGATGAACAAACAAAAAACAGAAAGAGCATAGATGATCATTTTTCATTCATTCGGTTATATAATAAAAATTTAAGTTTTTTTTTATACATGAACTCTTAGCAAATGGAGAACTTGTTGAACATATTCCACATACGTGTTAAATATAAATAAGATTTTGCCATATATATATATATATATATCAGAGATGCCAGGCTACAGGGCCAGGCTGATTTTTGCACATTTTAGCCTGGCCTGCATCAGGCCAGGCCAGGTTAACCTGTCTAGCCTGCTCAAAATTGACATGGAATGATTTTATCTGCAGAATTCTGTATTACCCATGCAGCCGATAATGTAAAATAATGGACATTATTTTCCATTATTTTTTAATAAATAATGTGCATACTGAAATTAAAATGCAACCTATTTCATGCACTATCTTCCAAATAAGGGGAAAATTTTCCAATAATCCATTGTTTTTTAATGAATTATTTCAAATTTTACCATTATTTCCCTGCAATGCATTATAAATTATAATGCATCAAAATTTAAAAATATAATGGAATCTAATTCANATATAATGGAATCTAATGCATTGAAAGCGTGAAAATTTTTAATTAATTAGATTCCATTATATTTTTAAATTTTGATGCATTATAATTTATAATGCATTGCAGGGAAATAATGGTAAAATTTGAAATAATTCATTAAAAAACAATGGATTATTGGAAAATTTTCCCCTTATTTTACATTATCGGCTACATGGGTAGGTATCGTCATGATCCATTTGCAAATTCAGAAAAAGAAGAAAGCGAATAATGATTGGATTGAATTTATTCCCACGATTATCACTAAAGGTACAATAAAAAAAAAGCCAAATCAAAGAAACGAAGACAAAGTAGTCAATGCATTTTAATCTTTTATTACTTTATAACAGTTCATATTTGTAAATTGTTTAATAGTGGTTGTTTCTTATGTGAAATGCTAGAGGTGTTAATTCAGAGAGTTTTTATTTTCTAATATATAAAACAACTTTTTTATATTATTACTATTAAGAAAAGAAAGAAATAATCACATTAATCCTCAACATCATGACCAAAATTGAACCTAATGAATATGTTATAAAAATACACATAACTTTTTTGGTTTCATGTATGCTTGCAGGACAGGCCAGGCAACAGATTGGCCTGGTCTAGTCGTAATAGGCCGGAAAAAGTGGCCTGTTGGCATCTCTGGTGCATATCAGCATGGCAAACTACATAGCATACATTAAGATTCTTAGAAGCATATCACGGATTACCGACACAGCATAACACTGCAAGATGAATGCATGCAGTTGCTAAAAGTGTACCTCGAGTTCCTAGAATCCTGCTTTAGGCGATTGAAAATATGACTGTGGTTCGTAAAATGATACATCAGGTTCCAGAAGGCATATCCGACTTAGTGGATCCTTGTAGCAACCTGAAGTGTGCTGCTAACAAGTTGAGGGATGCTTGTAGTTACCTAAGGTATGTCACTAGCAACTTGAAATAGGCTAGTAGGAACATTAGAGCAGTTGGGTATGAGTGTTGAAGAAAGAGCTGCAGAGGTCTGAAGTGGTCTCATATGATTGTAACAATTCAAATTCTATAAAATATCAATAGAAGTAAATTATGCTTTGCATTTGCCAATTCATCAGAGAATTTTCCTAAAATTTCATCTAGATTCTACACCGAATTAGGCAGCTATTCCAAATTCCTCAACGTATAAACATATAGCTATGCAAAAGTGGATACGCTAGGGATTAATACCCTAAAATAAATTCGATGGGTATGATGACTTCGAAATCACGATACCCAGTGTAACGATATTATGACATTTATGATTCAATGATAATCGAGAATACAGGGTTAAATTGAGATATATATCTTACTATAATATTCGGATAATCGATTCTTCTTTCCCTTGTTTTCCTCTCTCAAAATGAAAATGAATATAATCTCGAAAATGTTTCTATATTAAAAATAAAGTATTGAAAACATCTGAAATACGTGCAAATGTTTATTTAACTTTTAATACAACACACTCAACTGTGTTGATATAATAGGTAGAGAAAACTATAAAATAACCTACTGACATGTATCGTTGAATTAATATCTGCAATGAGATATTATACTATGTTTCATTTGTTTAACGATTGTAAATTAATAACGTGCGGAACGCTTGAGGATAAAAAAAAACGACTGAACATATTTAAGATTATTCATAATAAATAATGACAGCGTATCATTTCTTTATTATAAACAAGAAACTCTGTACAATTTTACCAATCGCTTCAGAGCGCAATATAATATTTGTGTCTGTTGCATTGAATGATATATCTATCTTCTCATATCGAATCATTTACTACGTAGTATGTACTAAAATTAAATTAAAAAAGTCCCCATTCACATTCTTATTATTATATTCAAGCAATTGAAACACTTCAACGCAATAGAAGTGTTCTGTCAAACTTTCAACAATTTATTTTTCTTACGTTTAATACAAGAAAAACGTTATTCTTTTTCTTCTTTTCTTTTTTCAAATGTTAACGTGAACAATATATTTTATTCGTCTGTCAGATGTATGTTTGCATTTTATAAAAAAAATAAAAATCATGTGGGAATCAATGAAATTGATCGAAAAAGCAAATCATTTAAAAAAAATACATCCTCGAAAACTTTTTCCCGATCGAACTTCTCCAAAAAATGATAATTTAAAATCTCTTTCATTTACTGTTTATTCGTCTCGGCATTTAATATCAACTCAAAAACAAAATGTATCTTATCGTTCAGATGAACAAATTTTACCGCCTATTGAAAGCCGAAATCAGCGAAAGAAAAAACGTCCATCTTATCGTTCATCGCTTTATCATCCTGGTAAAGTTCATTCTAATGAAAGCGATTTATCTTCGTTAACTGCACGTGGTACGAAATCAGAATTATTAACAACACTAAGAGAAGATGAATTCATAAAAAATTACGAGCATCATCATGCTCCACCGCCAAGTCCATCGGATGATCAACTTGAACGATTTTTATATGAATTTAATCGAGCAAGAAATTTTTCGCCTTGTCCAATAACACATCAAGATGGCCAAGTACCATATCGTTTACCAGCACTTAAAAAAACAAATCGAGAAACACATTCAGAATTAACCTATCCATCTCAATATATTAACACAACTACATCAAATTATTTTGACACATTTTATTGAAAATGTGAATTGGCTTTGGCTTTTAAAATGTTGTTGTTGTTTTTTTTTGTATCTGTAAAATATCGATCATTACTCGTTACTATTTGATAAATTCTTGATAGGAATGATTCTCTGTACAAGTGAATAAAATCAAATAAAAAGTCATAATCAGATATTAATGTTTCTCTGTAGATTAAACATAAACATGAAAAAAAAGAAAACAGAGAATATTACTTAATGTTAAAATATTTTGTCTAACGATTAACAAAATAGAGAAAACGGTAAATGTAGAAGCCACTCAAATAATTTCTTTCTTCCGTAGCCACTTTAGCTTACTAGTTTTAATTGATATGAATTGTAATGCTTCCGAAAAGAATTCAAGAGTAGGAAAAGAAAAAAATATGTGACTTACAGATTGCCGTAACTGATGAAGTATTTTAACTGTTTCAAGGCAACATTCTGTTTTGCTGGAAAGGAAAATGATTCAACATGGAATGGAATAACAATAGTAAATGATCTTTCAATGGTTGATACCATGCATAGATGTGTTGCTACTACTTAATCATATAGTAATATTAGAATGATTAGTACGGGCAGATCAATTTAGAATTCTATACGTATGTTTGACTCGGATAGATATGAAGTTCATGGATGAATTTCTTTTTTTTCGAAATTCAAATGACGGTGAAGAGCTTGTTTATAAGTCAATGTCAGAGCAATATTAATAAAAACAGTCACGTTCTTTTACTCTTACATATCAAGAAGTTTATTCTTCAAATGTTAAGTAATGAATAACAATATTTTATTTATTAGATTCACCAATCTCGAGAAAAAACATTTATCTGTATAAGCTTGTTACATGTGCCTACAATTTTCATATGATAATCTTGGTGTCTCTCAAGAAGAAATCTCATCTTTATTTATTTATCCGTCTAAGTTATTCTGCAAATAATTATGATTTACATTTAACTAAACGTCAGAGTATTTGATAGTAACAGGCGATAAAATAAAAACTATTGAAACGAAATTTTCCACATGAATTTTCTAACATAAAAGATTGACTTATTTTATATTTAAGTATTTGTTTCCTGTGGAACAAGAACATATCAATCTTGATATTAATCTAAACTTCTAGAATTACTTATTTTTTATTTAAAAATAGCAAGTATCAGTGAGCTATGTTATGTTATGCAGATTGAAATTTTATCAAGTTTATATAATAAAATTATTCAAGGGCATATTTCTGAATTATTCTCTCTCTCTCTGCATGTATCGGAAAACGTTAAAAAAAACATATACTTGTCACGCAGTATTGTATTGATGTTTACATAACTTTAGATCGAATAGCACTCATATGATCTTTCCTGTAGAAATGACGAGAAAGAAAAAGAATGATATTGTCTATCATTCTTTGTTCGAAACAATGTATTCGAAAAACATAATGATTGTACTGTTGTTACGTCGGCCGATGTGGATATAAATAGGCGAAACACGAATGCCATAGGTTATTCAAGAGAGGATAAACATTTATCGAACCAATTTATATTGCTAGTTATTTACATTTTAAAACATACGAATTGATCGAGAGGTAAGCTTCCAATTATTTCATATATTTCATTAGGACTAAACTTTAGTTTAATAGCATAATTTTTATTTCAAAGATAATAAACCGAATGAAAATGGGATTATATGTTTTATTGTTGATGCTTTTAGCATCGATAAATATATTGGGTATAGATGGAAGAAGAACGGGTGGAATAAAAGCTCGTCTAGTTGAAAAAGATAGCGATGAATCTGCCACTGATGAAGATAGTCATGAATACTATGACCAATATTCAAATGATTTAAGAATACATATGTATGATTATGAAGATCAATCAGAAGAAGATTCGGATGAAGTTGAAACTGTTCATGAATTAAAACCAACTAATGATGCCGTAGATGATGAATACAATCCTGTAGTAGTTTTCATTAAAAATACAAAGCCTGCTACATTGGTAGATAAAAGAGATCCAACAACATCGGATGAACATCAAACGGTGAAATCTATTAAAAATCAACAAAAAACTATGAAGGTATCCAGTGATAAAGCAGGCAATTCAAACGTTACGGTCAAAGGAAGAAAAAACAAAAAACCTACTCAGGTTAGATCATCCAGTGAAAATATCTACTAGAACATAATCTTCTACATGAATTTTCATTTTTAGACTATTCAATTATCTAACGACAGTGTACATGTTAGTGGCCATATTATTCTGGTCAAACATCATTCACCAATTAGTGACTCAGTCGTATATAAAATTGATAGTACATTTTCAAAAAATAATAGTAATCTTAAATCGATTCGAACTGAAATGCCATTTACTGAAAGTTCAATTGAACGTGATAGTCATATTACACTCTATGTTTCAACATCAAAAGTAATTGATCGTAAATTAGCATTTTCTAAATTTTTAATTAACGTCAAACGAGATCATTTTCCACTACCATTTCATATTCATGTTAAATTACCAAATCAAACACATGATAATATTACATTATTTTTTTTTGTTTATGTAAAAAATGGTAATAAACAGTTTTTTACATTTATTCCAGCTGGTACAAGTCAAATACACTTACAAGGAACTAATCGACTTTTGCAAAAACTCGATATTCATGTTAAAGCAAACGGTACTGAAATAACCGGTGTATTTCATGGTCGTTTTGGTCAAAAATTCATCGGATCAGAAACAAATCTTCAAGTTTTTATTATTCCTGAAAAAAGTTTAGCACTACGTCGAAATCAAACATTTGAATCAGTTGCTCAATTAACAATAAGAAAAGCACCTTCTATATATCTAGTATCATTTTCATTGTTAGTTCTCAACCATGTATTAAATCCACATAAAAACTATTATGCTATTGCTTTTATCACTGAAAATGGTACTCGCCGGTTAATTAATCAAGAACCAATATTAGTATTTAATGAAACCAAACTTGTTACATCTAAAGTTGCATTTTATGTTATTCCTGCATCATTAATACTTCGCGGTTCAATAAGTCGTTCAATGGCTGGTTCATCTATTCTTCAGCCACATTCATCACTTCACATACATCTACATGAAGTTGGTTCGAATTCACATAATATTATTTTTAAATTATACAAAATATCAAAACTCCCATTCAATTTTCAAATGAATATTAGTCAGGCAACTCGATTTGATCCAACGAAAAACTATGATATAAGTGCAATGATAATCGATGAGAAAAATGTTACCTATATGTCTAGTTCAAAACCAATTCTTCTCGATGATTACTTAAACGTAAATATACCTGTCGATGATCTTTTTTATTATGTTCAAATTCGTCTTCATACCTCCAACAATGAAAAACTTCATTATGTTCCCGGTAGTACAGCTCGAATGTTTGCTCCTGAAAGCCCTGCAATGTTAATGCAGCCAACTGTTGGTATTCGTATCGATTCTATACCAGAACATTTTCGTGAATTTTCATTTCAAATCCCTGTTACAGCTTGTTACAGTGACGTCGCTAGTATACACACTCGACATATATGTGCTATCCTCTATCATCTTCTTTAATCTTCATTTGTCTTTTCTCTTCTATCTTCTCTTGTCGTTCTCTTTATATATTTCATGTAATATAGAGTTAAGGATATTCTTGTTAAATAAAGTTAACGTACACGTTGTACGTACACCCATACTCAAGGGGAAAAAACTCATTCAAAGTCATTCAAATGGCTAGGAATGGATGGGAATGACTTTCGATCAATCGCTATGAATTAGTATCTTGGCGTAATTCAAACTATACAAAAACCTTAAAATTCATTAGAGACATCATTGTCGCTATTGTCGAAGTGCTTTGACAAAGGAAGCCTGTTGAAAATAGTATAATCGTTTTCCAATATGTATCAGACTTTATCTTCATCACATTATGCTGCTACCGACACACATGAGCATTTGTCATATACATAATTACAAGTAATTACTAACAACGAGATTCATCCTTATGTTGATAAAATAATATTTTAATAGAATCAATTCACGATAGAGCCATCCAAGCTGACCACCACCATAGATTGCAATGAATTTTTGTCCATAGATACTGCACGATGTTCTTTGATCGTAGTATGTAGTCTATTTATTGGTTGCTTTTTTTATTGATTATATTTCTTTTAGAAAAACTTGATGAACTTCAAAGTACTGTTAATAATAATGCTCCATTACATATTGGTGTATGGCGTTTATCAGTTACAGGTGTTGTTACTGACACTTCAAGTCGTACAGTTACTACTGCTGAAAAGAATCATACTGGTCAATAATAATAATATTTGATTAAATTATTTATCTTTCATAGAACTTTTCTTGTAACTAAAATAATCTATTTATCTTTGTCTGTTTTTTTTTTTCGTTCTCAAAAATTCAACATTGAATAAAATATTTACATATTTCAACACTAAGAAGTTATACAAATTTTAATTAATAAAAAAAATAATACCTTTTAGCTGTTTTATGTCTTTTAGGAGCATGATGATAGTTTAACAGGTTTCTCGGCAAATGACCCAGACAGAATGAGAATCTTTGTTTTTTAAACTGATTTTGTCAAACGTTATATTCTATTTCTATGATTCATCTTTTAATTAAATTATCTAATTCTATGGCTTCTATATTAATGTAAATAACATCTCAAATTATTCAAGATATATCTTAATGACAAACAGGCAAAGATAAATAATTTTCCAAAACAGATTTATTTTCAGTTCTTTGTTACAATTGAAGAAACATAGAAAGTCTCTTCAAATCGAATAATGCGATGTATTTAAATGTCAAATTTATCGCAGTCAGTAAAATTTGGCGAGGAAAGAAGAAAATTTCTTTTTGCACCATATTTGTATTGGTTAATAGATGTCAAACTATGCACTTCCACTTGTTCAAATGCCCGATTTAATATCAATGATTCTTTCCCATGAAATGACGTTAAATAGATCTTAATTTTTCTTTGAGTACTGCTAAAATATAGAAATAAGATCTGCGAAAGAGATTGAACATTAAAGCAAATTGAAGTTCATAGTTGGACCTCCACCAATTCGCTTGATACTTGAGCAAAGACAGCTTGCCCTTTCCCATCGTCAAATATTATTAACTACGGTATAGCTTACATTTAAATATACAGGATTATTCGATTGGATACAAATTTATGTAGTTCTATAATTAGAACAAAATTATCGTGTCGAAAAAAAACTTGTCATTTAAAACCATCGTGATGCTGTCAAAATTGATCCCATTTGACTAGTTGTAATTGACTTATATATTGAAAGATGGCGAATGTAATTTACATACCAAGAAGTCATAATGTTTTGCAGAAAATTAAAAAATAAGTCTATTAATGGATATAGAAGCCTGGAAAAATCGATATTAAAGTTGATCTCATTAAAAATATTGAGAGGTTCATTCTTATTGGAACACTCATTATCTTTCGCTAGTAACAGTGACGTCAATGCTAAAGTGTTAGCAGATAAAACATGTCGATCAATATTGTTCTTATCAAAAACGAAAGTCATTTTAACCGCACACTTACGAGGGAGGGTCACCAAGTGTTCAACCGCTTTTGCGTTGAAACTACTTACATCATGTAGCTTCCGATGAGTTATGAATACGCTAAAAATATTTTGAGTGGATAGCTTATTGTGATGAAACTAGGGCATTTCTGAGGTATGAGCTTTTTTGAGTGCTTGTCTCCCCCCAGGGACATTAAAAAATTGATGTTCGAATTTTGACTTGAAACTTTTCATAGAAAGACTTGCTAAGGAGCAAAACTTCCTGTGAACATTTCAGACCTTTC